CTATGCTCATCTAGTAATTTTATGATATTAATCCAAATTATGAGCTTACTCTCTACAAATTGCTAACTTGAAAGCGTTTCGTTACCCTGGCGACGTAAACTTACAATTATTCCTGAAACTTTCTCGGCCTCAAATATGCCTTTAGAATTGTATCCAGCAGCGAATATGTTTGTCTATACAGGCTGACAAATATATTTTAGAAACCTCGTAAGAGAGACTATTTGCGTGTTTTTTCGGAGCACATCAGTGGTCACGTGCTTGGGTCTTTCTTTAAGGCGTAGCTTTCGCTCTGCACATGTCATCATCACATTCTAAAGCTCGCGACTGGCCCTAATTTGGCTATTACTAATGACTTTTTGACGAACACGTGCCATAGGTCTTGTGATGAGAAAAAGCAAACCATTTCCCCTTCATCTTTTTGCCAATCATCCTCCTCAAGAGCTTTCTTGCACTCTCTCTCCCTTCCTTATTTGCAAATGGCCTAAGATCAAGTTGCTTTGGGACTGGACCAAAATAAATAAAAAGGGGAACCCGAAGATCAGTTATTTAATGTAACTAGTTTCTATAAATCCTTTGACTGCAACCGGTATGAAATTTATCCAACTGTACCATTCACTCTTCCGACTACCATACAATCTGCATATCTGGATCAGTATCACTCGGGTGTTGACAAGCATTTGCCTCCTCAGTGCTCAACTTTACCTCAATTGGGGCCCAGGAGAGCGCGTCCTGAGAGCTATCTTTCTTGCTGCTGGAGTAATTAGTATTTCCTCGAGCTTAATCTCACCCGGTCTTGTCCTGAGCCACCGGCTCAGAAGACCCCCGGATGAAGAATCGTCAACCAGCTATAAGCCTGACACCAAGACCTGCCCTTTTATATGTCATTCCAACGAGGGCTACTATCTGGCTAGCGCTGCAAAGATCTCCTGGGGCCTATGCAGTTTATTTCTAGCTTTTGTGATTAGCATACTTACAGCAGTATTGTCTATTCTGCTGCATGTCAATTGTAAAAAAAGCCAATCCGCCCACTCAAACGAAGCTCCGAGGCCCCCTTGTACTCTCAACAGTAATGCTCTATGTATTGTTGGTGCTCTATCCATTTTTTTGAGCCTACTCAATCTGACTGATTGTTTAACCTATGTATTCACTCTGTGCAAACGCCGCTTGGATGTACTAGTCGCGCAAAACTGGCCTCTTACTCCCATTTGTGCTCATAGATCCATCTCTCAACCTTAGGCGAACGGACGAATTTAGCCTGCCCATCCCATCCGATGTTTAGCTAATCTACGCAGAAATTACGTGATTTCTCCTGCTCTTAAATCATGTAATCCTTTTTTAATTTATTTATTCATAATGTAAGTTAATTCAAACTCATCCTTGATCTAGACGGAACTCACAATAACATATATTAGCTTACCTTTCTTCGGACATCAAGCTTTGCATATTCTCGTTCCAATGAGTAACTAAGCTCTAACAGCCAAAATTATTAGGAAGGCATGCTTTTTTCCACGATTAATCTCAGAGCTCCAATAATGCCTACTGATACGAAACACAGCCTGCAGGGTGACAGTTTATTTTTTCCATTATATACTTTCAACGTCGTCTGAGGTCGCCACTTGAAAACAAGAGCTGATCAGTAGGAAGAGCATCCGACAACACCCAGACAGTCTCGTATCAACCTATCCTTCACTAGCTGAGGCTATATTCTCTTGTCACTGTAAAAAGAACAGCTATAAACACCAATTACATTTACAAACTTTTTCATCCTTTTTGTCCATCGTACAGCTGGAAAACCTATCTGTAAAGATATCTTATTTGATTTAATGAATGCTACTTTGTGCCTATTTGGAAGATTAAAATGTAATATTTTGTGCCCGAGAAATATAATGAAAGAAAACAATCTGCCTAAATGTTAAGCCTAAAAAGGAGGATATTCTGAGGCGAGGCCCCTATTGGTTGTGTGCGCACTTTTTAAACTCACTTCCATGGCTTGATCGAGGTTGTCGGTAAACTCCGAGGACATATCCAGTGCCTGGCTGCCAACTATTGCGTCAGTGTGATCTTTGTGTAGCAGCGAACTTAGCATTTAGCTTTTCATGGCTTGGTTACATTTTTAAAATATATTCACTTCTGCCAAAGATTAGGGTCAACGATGCCATTTTTGACATCAAATTCCAGAGGGCCAGAGGGGAATAATTTCCAAAGCAAGTCAAGTTCTTAACGCCACATTTATTGAGACAGTGGCACTCGCGGCTGTCTGACTCAATGGCAACGTGTGGCCACTTTAAGCTCCCGGTAGGTATTTGATTCCCTCTAGGGGTGTTGATGAGCCCCAGACGAGGTTGAAGCCACAGATACCCTTAGATGTGGACACCTTTAAGGAACATGGCTAAGCGGATTCAGTAGCATCATGAGAAAACTTGACTGTCACCTTATGGGATCAATGATATCGGAAGCCATTAAATGTACATGTAAGTGAGAGTTTATCTCAATAGAATGCTGTCCTGATTCAAAATAATCCTAGCCATATAGGCCAACTAAAGTAGCAACGGTCATTTCCTTAATTGTATCTCTTAAGCTTTCTGAAAAAAACAAAGCAGTGAAAAATAGTGGTATATTTTTTTCTCAATCTCCCTACGCTATGTTGTTAATTTAGGAAGATTAATATATTTTGGCAGACATAAGCCAATGTAATGCCTTTTATTTATAATAGGGCTGAAAAGTCAAAGCTGAAAGAATATAAATTATAGGGTTTGGATAAGTAACAAATAAATACTGTCTTCTTAATAGATCCTTTGATGTATAATCAGAGAAGGCAAATCTGCTCTGAATTTGATTAGAAAAATGCTAAAGCTCGACAGAGATTTATTTAAATCAGTCAAAATTAAGAACGCACGTGACTTGGAGATTTTAAAAAAGTAATGACGGTGAATAGGTAGAAAACATAATGCATAATGCCCACAAATGG